AAAGAAAGAAAGAAAGAAAGAAAGAAAGAAAGAAAGAAAGAAAGAAAAAGAAAGAAAGAAAGAAATATTCTCTCCAAAACTATAACTGTAAAGACCATCGATGCAATTTTGGCTCCTTGAGTCTTTGTGACCAATATTAAACATGGCTAGCATTTTCACATTATTTGTCAATCTAAACAGAGCATTGACTGTTTTATTCTTGGTTCTTTTTTGTTTGTTTTTTTCTATAAGATGTTGGTTCTTCTTCACCATGGTTACTGGTCAGAAATATATGTGTATTTGTAAATTGTGGAGTGAGCCATAGTAGTTTATTGACTTGCATGTGTTTATTATAAGGTTAAACAAAATGTGTACACCCACAAAATGTGGATTTGCTTATCTTTTTTTAAAAAGATTTATTTATTTGAGAGAGAGGGAGAGAGCATGCATGCGTGTGCTTGTGCTCGAGCAGGGGGAGAGGGAGAGAGAAAACCTCAAGCAGGCTCCCCACTGAGCACAGAGCCTGTCCTGAGACTTGATCCCATGATCCTGAGATCACCGAGCCAAAATCAAGAGTTGGGTGCTCAACCGACTGAGCTACCAGGCACCTCTCTGTGATCTTAAACATGGACGACAACTGGCTCTTTGGGTATTATGTGGTTCATAATTTTTATGAAATCTTCTTGAAGGGGTGCCTGGGTGGCTCAGTCATTAAGTGTCTGCCTTCGGCTCAGGTCATGATCCCAGGGTCCTGGGATCGAGCCCCGCATGGGGCTCCCTGCTCGGCGGGAAGCCTGCTTCTCCTTCTCCCACTCCCCCTGCTTGTGTTCCCTCTCTCTCTGTCTCTCTCTGTCAAATAAATAAATAAAATCTTAAAAAAAAATCTTCATGAAATCTCCAGCCTTGTTAACCAAGTGTTTTCCAAGCTATTACAATGTTGCCTTTGGCAACTAACTTCCTTAAAGATGGAACCATTTGCTTTGCAGAGAAGTGAGCACCTGTTCCCTGGGAGTACTAAGAGGCTGGTCCAGGGATACGACAGTAGGAATAGATGACTGCTCAGTAAACTGTATTATGGGGAACACATTCCCTATCCTTGCAGCATTCAAGCCAAAACGAATTGACCATTTATTAGAATCCTGAAGAGGTGATTTGTATATGAGAACAGGATTGGAGGAAAAGACTGCTAAGATCCCTATATTAAAAAGAACTGTATTCGAGAACTGGATTCATAAAATTGATAATGTTTAATGCTTCATCAAGGGCATTCTTTTTTTTTAAAGATTTTATTTATTTATTTATTTATTTATTTATTTATTTATTTATTTGTCAGAGAAAGAGAGAGAGAGAGCAAGAGCAGGGGGAGAAGCAGTAGAGGGAGAGGGAGAAGCAGGGAGGGATGCGGGACTCGATCCCAGGACGCTGGGATCGTGACCTGAGCCAAAGGCAGACGCTTGACGACTGAACCACCCAGGCGCCCCCATCAAGGGCATCCTTAAGTGAAATGGACTTTTTGTTCTGGCAAGTGCCCGGCAGTGAAAAATACAACGGCTGTTAGTGTAGTTTGGTGTCACCGCGTTGACTTGGGTCAGGTGCTGGCAGTTTTCCCACTGTTGTCTTTTTTGCCATCAGCGCAAGTGTCAACAGAGTGAAAAAGGCATATAATGTCTTATTTTTATTATAAAAACAGAATCATTTTTGAATCCAGTCTAACAACCATTTCCTTTTAGTCTGCTTACAATTAATGTAATTACTAATATATTTGGACTTAAAAATAACATCTTACGGTTTGTTTTCTATTTTATCCAACGTGGTCTGTGTTCTTTCTTCCCTTTCACGTCTTGCTTTCTTTTGGAGTAATTATCTTTTATTCTTTCATCGCTGCCCACTCCTTTTCCCATTAGCTTGTTAGTTATTTTTTACTATTCTTTTAGTGGTTACCCAAAACATTATAACATGAATCCTTGGTTAATTAAATTTAATAATTATTATTATTTTTTTTAAAGATTTTAATTATTTATTAGAGAGAGAGAGCGAGCACAAGCAGGGGGAGTGGCAGGCAGAGGGAGAAGCAGGCTCCTCGCTGAGCAAGGAGCCCGATGTGGGACTCGATCCCAGGACCCTGGGATCATGACCTCAGCTGAAGACAGATGCCCAACCAACTGAGCCACCCAGGCGTCCCAATAATTATTTTTTTTTAAAAAGATTTATTTATTTGAGAGAGAGTGAGTGTGAGTGCGGGGAGGAGCAGAGAGGGAGGAAGAATCTCGAGACTCTGCACTGAGCAAGGAGCCCAGCGTGGGGCTTGACATCACGACCCTGAGATCCTGGCCTGAGCTGAAACCAAGAGTTGGACACTTAACTGAGCCACCCAGGTGCCCCTAAAATTTTAATGTAAATATGTGCTTTTACCACTTCCTGGACAGTGTGAGGACTTTGGACACTTTTACTCCACTTACCTTCCTCCTGCCTTTACAAAAATTTTTGATTCTGAAAAAATTTTACACCTTCAAAAAGTTACAATAACAGTGCAAAAAACTTCACATAGATTCACCAATTACTGACATTTCTTTCCCTATCCTCCCCCTTCTCTCTTTTAGTTTGCTCTTAAGGCCTTTCATCTGATTTTATGAGGCTCATCCAGATTTTCAGAATAATCTCTTTAACTTAAAATCAACTAACTATAGATGTTAACTATACCTTAAAAATACCTTCACCTAGATTAGTGTTTAGTTGAATAACTGGGGTACTATGGCCAAGCCAATTTGACACATAAAATTAACCAGCACACAGCACATCAAGTTTCTTTCTTGCTGTAGGTCAGGAAATATAACAGCCATTTCTATTTTCCATTTGTTTGTTCATTCTTTTATTCAAGAACTGTATCTTTTTTTTTTTCTTTTCAAAGTTTTATTTAAATTCTACTTAGTTAGGGCGCCTGGGCGGCTCAGTCGTTAAGCGTCTGCCTTCGGCTCAGGTCATGATCCCAGGATCCTGGGATCGAGCCCCGCATCGGGCTCCCTGCTCTCGGGGAGGCCTGCTTCTCCCTCTCCCACTCCCCCTGCTTGTGTTCCCTCTCTCACTGTGTCTCTCTCTGTCAAATAAATAATAAATAAATAAATAAATAAATTCTACTTAGTTAACATACAGTACAAATTTGGTTTCAGGAGTACAATTCAGTGATTCAGCATTTCTATACAACTCCCAGTGCTCATCATGGCAAGTGCCTCCTTAATACCCATCACACATTTGGCTCATCCCCCACCCACCTCCCTCCATCAACCCTCAGTTTGTCAAGAACTATATCCTGAGCACCAGCCATTTACCAGACACTGTGATAGATGCATGGATACATATTCTAAGATTCAGACAACTGACTTATAAATGACTGTTAGAATACAACCTACTTGTTAGTTGGGATCCTATTGTATATTTTTAGAGCTATTGCCTTATTTCTTTTTGAGTTGCTTTATTTCCCTCTAGGATGTAGACAAGAATGTATTCATTTTCATGACTTTCATAAATCTTGCATAGTTCCTTGTCAAGTAAATATAAATATGTCTTATCAAAAACAACATTTATACCAATTGTTTTATCAAAATGGTTGAGCTCAGTGGTTACTGAAAAAGAAGAGAGGGGCACCTGGGTGGAGCGGTTGAGCGGTGGAGGGCAGGGGACACGGTTGAGTGTTGGATTCTTGGTTTCAGCTCAGGCTGTGATCTCAGGGTCCTGGGATCCAGCCCTGCGTAGGGCTCCATGCTCAGGGCAGAGTCTGCTTGAGACTCTTCTCTCCCTCTCCCTCTGCCCCTTTCCCACGTGCTCATGCATGCAGGTGCTCTCTCTCTCTAAAATGGGTGAATAAATCTTTAAAAAAAAAAGAAAGAAAGAAAAAGAAGAGAAATCTCAAACTAATTTAGCAGCTTATTTCCAAAAAACAGGAAGGACCAGCCTCTTTGCATAAATGCTTTTTTGAAAAATTTTTATTTATTTATTTGAGAGAGAGATTGGGAGAGCAAAGAGGGAGAGTGAGAGGAAGAAACAGCCTGATTCGGGGCTCTATGGCAGGACCCTGAGATCATGACTTGAGCCGAAGGCAGACGCTTAATGACTGAGCCACCTAGGTGTCCCATAAATGCTTTTCAAGCCGGGGCGCCTGGGTGGCTCAGTCGTTAAGCGTCTGCCTTCAGCTCAGGTCATGATCCCAGAATCCTGGGATCAAGCCCCGCATGCGGCTCCCTGCTCGGCAGGAAGCCTGCTTCTCCCTCTCCCACTCCCCCTGCTTGTGTTCCCTCTCTTGCTGTGTCTCTCTCTGTCAAATAAATAAATAAAATCTTGGGGAAAAAATGCTTTTCAAGCCACTTCTTGCATCACAGTTGCTAATGTCCCATCATTACCCAAAGTAAGTCACAAGGCCAGTCCAGTTGCAAGAGGTGGGGAAATAGAATCAACATCTTTATAGAAGTTGCTGCAAAGAATTTGTAGTTATTTTTGTTTTTTTTTTTCATATACTACACAGTTTTGAACATAATACGCAGCATATGACAGTTTGCAGCTAGTCAGAAAATCACCCCAATGGAACCCAGCTGGACATATTTTGGGTTATATGGGCTATCCCTGCAATTCTATATTATCTGGTCACTTTTTTTTTTTTTTAAGCTTTTATTTATTTATTTGACAGAGAGAGAGATAGCAAGAGCAGGAATACAAGCAGGGGGAGTGGGAGAGGGAGAAGCAGGCTTCCTGCTGAGCAGGGAGCCCAATGCAGGGTTCGATCCCAGGACCCTGGGATCATGACCCGAGCCGAAGGCAAACGCTTAACGACTGAGCCACCCAGGCGCCCCTATCTGGTCACTTTTTAACATAAAGGAAAAAGCTGGGGATTATGTAGTTAAATCGGACAAATCAGCTAATCCAAGCATAAAAAAAAATCTTTGAAACCGGAATTATTGGTTTTCCCATTACATTAACCAGACACCTTGTCAACTGTGCCCCTTGTTTTGAAGATCTTAGATCTACAGTTTAAATTACTGCCTCTTTCCTTTATCCCTATGCACATAATCATTCCATTAACTGTTGGAAAAATACCCAAATGTCCTTCTTTTCCTTGATTATACACCCTCTAAAAGATAGCTTTATCATTTAGATTCAGAATAAAACATTCTACTCACCTGGCAGTACCTTTTTACGTTTTCTTACATAAGTAAACTGAGAGATATACAATATGTGCTATGGTAATTGTTCCCCTGCACACCCCCTGCCCCACGGAGAATTACTTAGTTTCTGCAATAAAACATGCCGTGCTTTAAAATTTGGCAAGAAATAATGAAAATATACCCTTCCACAAAATTCCACTGGGGACACCTGAGTAGTAGTAGTTAAGATACTTAGCTAAGCAGATTCAACCATCAACTTCCTAATTCAACTGTGCACTAACCTTCAGGATCTTGCAATGTGACCCTACTGACCTGAAAGAATGAGTGCACCTTTAAAGAATGAGATTACTTGCTTCCCATCAGCAGGCTTAAAAGCTCAGTATTTTCATGGCTGTGTAATAAAGCTTTGAAAGGAGCACAGTTAAAATAACCACGTAGCCCGAGAAGGAAAGGATTCAACTCAAACATATTTCAGTTCTCTCAAATGACTTCAGCCTGTGGTGTGCACACGCCCTAGAAGAATCCGGCTGTGTTCAGTTCTGATTAACAAAGGGCATTTTTCAAACACCTCAAGAGTAGTATAAATAGTTGAGAAGGGTGTTAATTGCAGGAGTAAGCTGGCTCATCAAGTGAATATGTGAATGAGCTTTGTAAACTCCACAAAATGCTCTAAAAATATTTGTGGTTGTTCTTTTCATATTTGTGTAAATAATACGTGCACACAGACTAAGACATTCCACCTTCCACAAAGTGGTTTTGCAGTGTGTTGGGCTGAGAATGAAATCATTTTGGTAATGTTCTTCCAAGATCAATGAGTTTTTTATTTTTTATTTATTTATTTGTTTTTATTCATTTATTTAATTGACAGAGAGAGAGAGACACAGTGAGAGAGGGAACACAAGCAGGGTGACTGGGAGAGGAAGAAGCAGGCTTCCCGCTGAGCAGGGAGCCTGATGCAGGGCTCCATCCCAGGACCCTGGGATCATGACCCAAGCCGAAGGCAGTCGCTTAACCGACCGAGCCACCCAGGCACCGCAATGAGTTTTTTTAAATTGTGCTTTTTTGCTTCTAGAATCTAGGCACAGTGTTCCAGCAGTATTTGTAGGTCCTTGAAAGTATTATTTCTGATGAGCTGCATAGTAGACACCCATGTTAGAAAATTTGGAAAATGAAGAAAAGTACAAAAAATAAATAATCACTCGTAATCCCATCACCCAGAGCTAGTAGTCCTTAATATTTTGGTGTGTTTTCTTGTCCTTTCTCTATACATGTAAGTATATACAGAAATATGAAAATTATATATTTTACATGATTCTATGATACTTTATATAAGGCTATATAATGTAGTGGTTAACATTGCCAGATAATTTAGGTTTGAATTCTGGCTCTTCCACTTTCTAATTATGGTAATCTGGGCAATTTACTTATTATCAGTTGTAACTCAGTTTCCTTAGCTATAATATGGGATAATAGTAGTGATCCACTTTGTAGAGCTATAGTGAGGATTAAGTTAATACATGTTAATACTTAGAACAGTTCCTAGCACATTATAAAAACTCGGTATTATATTTAAGGTTTAAATAATTTTTACCACATAACACCAGGGCATAAGCATTTTCCAAAATAATTTAAAACATTTATTTAATGAACGTATGACCGAATATCATATTCTATTGGATAGCTATGCCATTATTTACTTGACCCCAGCTCTGTTGTTGAATATTGTGATTCCAAATTGTTACTATTATCAATATTATTTTGATGACTATCTTAATGCCTCAAGTCTTCTCTGCATTTCAGATTTTTGAATAAAGTAGAGTAAGTAGATTCCTATAAGTAGACTGTGGTGACCAGCCTCCAATATGGCTCCCAACGATCCCCCTTTTCTGATATTCTTGCCCTTGTCTAAGTCTTCCCCACCTCCAACCCCCACTAAATAGAGTTTTTTTGTTTAACCAATAGGATATTGCAAACATGGTGAAGGGTGACTTCTGAGGCTAGGTCACAAAAGTCATCGTGGCCTCTTTTTTCCCTCCCTGTGGGATCACGCACACTGGCAGCAGAAAGCTGACATGTTGTGAAGACACTTTAGCATCTCCATGGAGAGATCCTTGTGGTAAAGAATTGAGGCACCTGCCAACTGCTACGTGAATGAATTGTCCTGGGAGCAGATCTTTCAGCCTCAGTCAAGCCTTCAGATGACTGTAGCCCTGGCCAACAGCTTGAAAAACTCTGAGCCAGAACCATCTAGCCCAAGCTGCTCCCAGATTCCTGACCTGCGGAACTTAGGTGAGATAAATGTTATTGTCTATAGTACATATAGACAACAATATTGTATTATAATCCTCAAACCTGCTAAGAGACTAGAACTTAGTTATTCCAACCACTAAAAAGAAATGATAATTATGGAACGTGATACAGGTGCTAATTATCACTGCAGTGGTCATCACATTACAATGTATAAATGTATCAAATTTCCATGTTGTATGCTGTAAATTTACGCAATATTATATGTCAAATATATCTCAATAAAAAATGTGCTATAAGATGCTAAATTTGGGAGTAACTTTGTTATTCAGCAGATTAGTAATATATATAGTAATATATAGACAAACTGGATTAAAGGGTGGAACATTTAACCATGGCTGATAGTGTTAAATGACTTTCCAGAAAGGTTAGATTGATTCTCATCAGAAGTATGTGAGAGTGCTTATATTATTATACCTTCATCATCACTGACTGTTCAATTTTGTAATCCTTGTTAATTTCATAGAAAAAAGTGGGTATTTTGCCACTTAAAATTTTTGCTTTTATTTGATCTCTAGTAAGGTTAATATTTTTTTCTTATAGTCTTTCTCTAGACTATTTTTCTTTTCAGCAGTTTTAGGTTCACAGCAAAATAGAGAGGAAGGTACAGAGATTTCCCATACACTCCTTTCCCCATACATGCACGGCCTCCCACACTGTCAGCATCTCTCAATGGAGTGGTACACTTTTTACACCTGGGAACCTACATTGATATGTCATGATCACCCAAAGTCTATAGTTTACACTAGAATTCACTCTTGGTGGTGTGCTAGTTTAATTTTTTCATATTTCTTTTCCATTTGTATTTTCTTTTCTGGGAATCCTCTTTAATTTATAATTTGCTCAGTCTCCTTTTGGGATCTTAGTGTTTTTCTTAGTAATTTGTATGAACTCTTTATATATAAAGGACATTAATCATTTAAATTGTTTGTTATGGGGGCGCCTGGGTGGCTCAGTTGGTTAAGCGACTGCCTTCGGCTCAGGTCATGATCCTGGAGTCCCAGGGTCGAGTCCCACATCGGGCTCCCTGCTCAGCAGGGAGTCTGCTTCTCCCTCTGACCCTCTTCCCTCTCGTGCTCTCTATCTCTCATTCTCTCTTTTTCTCAAATAAATAAATAAAAAAAATTGTTTGTTATGTTTTTCAACTGGTTGTTGCTGTTTCATTTTATGTTTAATGATACACCGAAGTTTAAAATTTTTATGCAGTCGGGCGCCTGGGTGGCTCAGTTGGTTAAGTGACTGCCTTCAGCTCAGGTCATGATCCTGGAGTCCCGGGATCGAGTCCCGCATCGGGCTCCCTGCTCAGCAGGGAGTCTGCTTCTCCCTCAGACCCTCCCCCCTCTCATGCTCTCTCTCTCTATCTCATTCTCCCTCTCAAATAAATAAATAAAATCTTAAAAAAAAAAACTTTTTTAAAATTTTTATGCAGTCAAATGGAATGGGATATTTTCTTTTGTGTGTAAATTTAGAAAGTCCTTTCCTATCCAAAGTAAATGTAAATGTTCATGTTATAGTTTTTGTTTTTTTTATACTTGGATCTTCAATTCATTGAAGTTTATAATTGTTTGTATCACCAAATAGCTAGCTATCTTTACAACACTATTTATGCAACAAATAGAACAATTTCCCCTCTTTCCTGTTGATAGTGATTTTTATATATTAAGTTCTGTTAAAGTCTAGTGCCTGTTTCTGTGCTATCTTGTTCCAGTGAAAAACTCTTCTTGTGTCAGTATCACTCTGTTTTAATTATTGTGGTTTATAATGTTTTAGTAATTGGAAGGACTAGTCAGTAGAATGACCTTAAGAAGTGTGACCTCATGGTCTCACAAAGCTGCAGAGCTTTCAGAATGCAATCAAATGCCATTCAAAAATGTTGAAAAGTTGGGTGGCTCTTCACCTAAGAGTATGAAAGAAGGCAAAATTTCATAAAGATCAGAGGTCTGTGGAGCTGGCCAGAAAAACATTTTAACATTCTAAGAGCCACAGAAGTGAAAAGTGAAATCAAATGTTTTAGCAGACTAAAGTGAGAGGTGGGGCGCCTGGGTGGCTCAGTTGGTTAAGCGACTGCCTTCGGCTCAGGTCATGATCCTGGGGTCCCGGGATCGAGTCCCACATCGGGCTCCCTGCTCAGCGGGGAGTCTGCTTCTCCCTCTGACCCTCTTCCCTCTTGTGCTCTCTATCTCTCATTCTCTCTCTCTCAAATAAATAAATAAAATCTTTAAAAAAAAAATAAAGTGAGAGTTGCAGACTTCCATGAGTAAATGGAAGAAAGAAGTCATGATATGATTCAAACCCAGGGATGTAAATGAGTTTTGCTGCATAAACAATTTTGGCCAATAATTAGTTTTCATATTTGTGTGCTTGTTGGTCAAACTATGGAAAGTAAAATTCCACTGCAAAACTAACTGAGCTTGGAAAACTTCTGTGGATATTCCTTGGATAACTTAAACAATATTCAGTTATAAGTTTCAGGTTTTCAACTTTTGAGTCAATTCTGGCCATTGCAATTTTTCTATTAATCATTCAATCAGTATTCAATTAATACTGAGATTTCTGTTTATCTGCATATACTGATGTTCATTATTTTGTAATAAAACATTTCCAGTATATTGCTCACTTCTTATTTTATTTGTGTTTTTCTTTCCTTTGTGTGTGCATGTTGAATTTGACAGGAAATGTTTATTTTGCTTGTTTTCTTTTTTTCCACCAAAACACCTATTGGATATATCCATTTTACTGGTTTTATTTTCTCTTAATTTAATTCTATTTTCTTTTTAAATATATTAACTACTCTACTTTTATGAGTCTAAATTTTTTTTTTTTAAGAAAGAAAGCATTTCAAGTTTAAGGTCATTTACCACTGAGTATAGATTGGTTACATCTCCTAAACTAAGTTTTCTATATATTATTCTCATTTTCATTATTTTGCAAATAGTTTATATTATGTCTATTTTTCTCTTTGCCTCAAGATTATTTTACTAAAAAAAATGAAGTCCCGACTAAGCAAATCACTTCTCTTTACATTCTTTTTTTTTTTTTAAGATTTTATTTATTTGACAGAGAGAGACACAGCGAGAGAGGGAACACGAGTAGGGGGAGTAGGGGACGGAGAAGCAGGCTTCCCGCTGAGCAGGGAGCCCGAGGCGGGGCTTGATCCCAGGACCCCAGGATCAATCATGACCTGAGCCGAAGGCAGACGCTTAACGACTGAGCCACCCAGGCGCCCCTCTCTTTACATTCTTAAAAAGTAGAACAGCTCTCTTCGTTCCATCCTTCTCTAAAAATAGTTTTTCAAAATTATGCCAGAGAAGAATGTTGGGAAAACCAGTAGAAGTCACTGCATTTGAGTCATTTAGTTTACATATTTGATGCTACTTCCATATGTCCCAGATTAAACCAAATGATTTTGAGGACATAACGTTTTATACTATTTAACATTGAAGTAGAGTGTAAAGTGAAAGACTAGGAAAAAAGATATTTTTGACATCAGCTAATTTGTGCCACAGCTAATATCTTGGACCCATGCTTCAAAGGCAGAAGTGTAACTAAAACAGCAGTTTCATTTGCCCAGAGCACACAGGTGATAGATACAGGTGAAGGTTACAGAATGCAAAACCCGTGGGGAGGAGGAAGCCCAGGATTATCATCATTGGGAGAAAAGCAGCTCTGACCCCAGTTGCCGAGCCCGCAGGCCTTCCCAGTGGCCATCCTGGGGGATGAACATCCCTTATTGCCGCCCAGGGCTTTTCCTCCTGATCACTGCAGCTAGTTACTGCAGCGACCTGTGAAGGCCTCGGGGGATCGCAGGAACTCTGGGCCCCTTGTGAAGGAGGCACAGCTTAAAGCATTCTCTGTGCTCTGCTTTTTCTCTGTGACTGGGAAAGATTACTGTCCTACTAAGGGAAAACCTAGCAAACTCGACAAAGTATCTCCATGCTTAAGTACTTAGCCCTTGTATCCTGTCCTCTGGATACAAATCTAAAGGGAGATGAGTCCCAAAGAAATCACCATGGAAAAACAGAGTGATGGGCTAGCCTCATGCACAAGCGGGAGAAAGCTTCTAAGGTCTTTGCAGTTTCCAGGCAAAGTCCCACCCCCTCTGCGGATCCGTGTATTCCTCCGCCCCTGCCTAGCGCCTTCTTGGTCAAGGTTTGGGTCATGGGCTCGGAGGGTCCCCCCGCCCCCAGCCCCATAGAGCAATGGAACCAGGAGTGAGGAAGCCTCAGATCTATCACTGGCTGTCTCATGGACAGAAATTTTCTTTTTTTTAAACAAGCTTTGGTCAGTTTTTTTAAGGAAAATTTTGTGTGATTTACTTTTCACCGGTCTGTTGTGCCATGCTTCTACTGATATATCAGAATCACCTGGATCAATAATAGCCAGTGTGCATACTCTGTAGTATTGCCCACATGCTGTGCCCAATTCAATATTATTGCCACTGTATTGGACACCAGTTTTGGCCAACATGGCATAATATTCTTTTTTTTTTAAATTTTTTATTGTTATGTTAATCACCATGGCATAATATTCTATTTCAGATTTTCTCAAGGCTGAGCAGTGGTTGGCGAGGATGAGCAGTTTTCACTTTGCCGTTTCTGATCATTTTCAGAGTCTACTTGTACCCCAGCAAATACTTTCCACTTTTCATAAAGAGCTGGAGTCTAGAGTCGATCGACTCCAGCGACTTTTTCTACAAAGCAAATATTTTTTTTTAAAGATTTTATTTATTTATTTGAGAGAGAGAGAATGAGAGATAGAGAGCACGAGAGGGAAGAGGATCAGAGGGAGAAGCAGACTCCCCGCTGAGCGGGGAGCCTGATGCAGGACTCGATCCTGGGACTCCAGGATCATGACCTGAGCCGAAGGCAGTCGCCCAACCAACTGAGCCACCCAGGCGCCCTACAAAGCAAATATTTAACATGGACCTGAAGGCCTTGTTTTTTTTATTATTTAATTTAATTAATTAATTAATTAATTTTTTAAAAAGATTTTATTTATTTATTTGACAGAGAGAGAGCACAAGTAGGCAGAGCGGCAGGCAGAGGGAGAGGGAGAAGCAGACTCCCCGCGGAGCAAGGAGCCCCATGCGGGGCTCGATCCCAGGACCCTGAGTTCATGACCCGAGCCAAAGGTGGATGCTTAACCGACTGAGCCACCCAGGCACCCCAGGCCTTGTTTTTTTTTTTTTTTTTTAAAGATTTCATCTATTTATTTGACAGGGAGAGACACAGGGAGAGAGGGAACACAAGCAGGGGGAGTGCGAGAGGGAGAAGCAGGCTCCCCGCTGAGCAGGGAGCCCAATGCAGGGCTCGATCCCAGGACCCTGGGACTATGACCGGAGCTGAAGGCAGACGCTTAACGACTGAGCCTCCCAGGCGCCCCCTCCTCCCCGAAGGTCTTGTTTTTAACCATCTCAAAACCAGATCTAGCTTTTTGGAAGCCGAATCCTTTAATAAAACCTTGGAAGTCTAGGGTCCCAAGTCAGTGAGAGGACCTCTCGGTTTCCTCTGGGGCCCCTCTGTGCCAGTGGGCATGCTGTCTCCCTGTTGTGAGTCCTTTTGAAAGGCACATTGCCTCTCTAGTCCTGGTTTCATCATTTAAAAAAAAAAGAGCATTGGGATGGATGATCTCTGAGGTCCCTTCCTGATCCCAAGTCCCTGGCTGGATTTCAGGAGTTTGGTCAAAGAACACAACCCGGGATCCTGTCATGCCTACGCCCCTGTAATTGTCTTTCTCCCTATCACAATGGCCAACATGTACCAAAGGCTTTTCCCTTGTGCGGCACTATGTTGACTGCCTAGCATGCTGATATGTACTGAGGGCTTGCAAGAATCTCATGCTGTCTCTATTTGACAGAGGAGAAGCTTGAAGCTTCCAGTTATGGAATTTATCCAGCTCATACAGCTAACAACCAGTGCAACTGAGTTCAGATTCTGGTTGACCTGACTTTAAAGCCAAAGTCGTCTTCTTTGCAACACATTACAATGGACTCTATTTTCCTGCTTGCTTTGGGATTATTTTGTCCTTGTCTTTACAAGTCAAGAAACTAAAATGAGAAAGAATAGGAAAATGTTCAGATTTTAGGAGTCAATGAAGTTGTTATTTATTTATTTAGTTAGTTATTTGACAGAGAGAGAGAGTGCACACAAGCAGGGGCAGTGGCAGGCAGAGGGAGAGGGAGAAGCAGGCTCCCCGCTGAGCAGGGAGCCTGATGCGGGGCTCCATCCCAGGACCCTGAGATCCTGACCTGAGCTGAAGGCAGGTGTTTAACTGACTGAACCATCCAGGCGCCTTGAGAAGTCAATGAAGTTTTAAAAAGGAGGAGGAGGAGGAAAAGGAGGAAGAGAAAAGCAACAGATATAACTCTGTTTGGGATAGTTCAGAAAAACAGCAATAATTGAGAATTCTACATGGCAAATTTTGGGAACTAGTTCTCCCCACCCCACCCACTCACTCCCAGTTCCTTTTTGAAAGCAAGGGCTTTCTGTAATGACACTTTAGAGAGCACTAAATCAATGGGATAAATCATGTTTAAACATGGTGTTGATAAAGTGTCTTCTATTTTCAAGTTGTTGCCTTGTTTTAATAAATGAAATCAAATCAAGACATGCTAAATTTCTCATAGGTCATTGTGTTGTAGCTCCACTCATTACAAAAGCATTTAAAAGTAACTCTAATGTATTTCTAAATATTGCCTATGTAAATCATGTTTTTGTACTTCATATACCAAACTTGATCATTTTATAGGTCACAGAAGGTTAAAGTTGGAGGGAAACTTACAGATCATAGAGTTGATTTTCTCTCCCTAAATACTAATGTGACATCATATCTGTGAATGCTCTAGAATTACTGCACATATATTTCAATTGTTTTAAAATGTTTGGGAGTGCCTGACTGGCTCAGTCGGAAGGGTGTGAGATTCCTGATCTTGGGGTCATGAGTTCTAGCCCCACATTGGGTGTAGAGATTACTTAAATAAATATTTAAAAAATAAAATGTTTAGGGCGCCTGGGTGGCTCAGATGGTTAAGCGTCTGCCTTCGGCTCAGGTCATGATCCCAGGGTCCTGGGATCGAGTCCCCCATCGGGCTCCCTGCTCCTTGGGAGCCTCCTTCTCCCTCTGCCTCTCTCTCTCTCTCTCTCTCTCTCTCTCTCTCTCTCTGTCTTTCATGAATAAATAAATAAAATCTTTAAAAATAAATAAATAAATAAATAAATAAATAAATAAATAAATAAATAAATAAAATGTTTAGAAAGAGGTAAGAAGGAGATTTGTTAAGTTCACCTTAGGATTTTTGTGTAAGGTCTAATCTTTCTTCAATTGAAATTATCCTTGAATTTTCAAAATACGCTTTAGTTTACACGTCTGAAATACGCTTAAGGTCAGAAACTGCGGCTATGTGTGCGAGCATTTATTTGTAAATAGCTCCCTCTAGTGAGAATTATTTAAAATTGAATGGTTCATTTCTGAATCTTTGAACTGGTAAGTTTTGTTTTTTTTTTTTCAAGATTTTATTTATTTATTTGACAGAGAGTGATAGCGAGAGCAGGAACACAAGCAGGGGGAGTGGGAGAGGAAGAAGCAAGCCCCCCGCCCTGCGGGGAGCCCGATGGGGGGCTCGATGCGGGGCTCGATCCCAGGATTCTGGGATCATGACCTGAGCGAAGGCAGACGCTTAACGACTGAGCCACCCAGGCGCCCTATGAACTGGTAAGTTTTTGAAGAGCAGTTTTCAATTTTTAAGAACTACAAATTCTTGAATTGTATTCTCTATAAAGCCCCAGATAATAGGATAATTAATTTTTTTTTGTTATTGTAGGGTCTGTTTTGGAAATAATTTATGGTGAAAAACAATCCAAAGACACACATAATAAATTAGCTATGTGTCAACACCATAACTGCAACTTTTTAGAGAAGTAATAAAATTGACTTGAAAGATAAATCTTGGCAGCAAACTAAAATACCAACTGTTCTGGAGATGAGAATTGAGTGGGGAGCTTAACAGAGAGATGGTGATATTGCTACAGAATTCAGGCTGAAAAGAATAACCTTGTTTACAGTTTACAAATTGCTTGCACTTGTGTTTTCATTTGCTCTTTTGGATGTCCTGTGAGGTCGGGATTATTCTCTTATTTTACAGGTCGGGAAACAG